AAAAATTTCTTCACAAGGAGAATAGAGATAAGAACTAATTGATCTAAATAAAGTCAAAATTTACTTACTTCTTACTAAAACACTACTACTAAACACTTATTATTATTTATTTTGTTTAAAAAAAAATAGAAAAAAATTGTTTTAGGCAGGGTTCGAACTTCAACTTTTCGAGTTGGTGTCATTTATGACGTGACAGCTTGTCAAAAATTGTGGCCCAACTGTCAATTTTAATAAATTTTTGCGTTTTTGTGTTTATTATAATGACTTCAAAAGTAAATTTAAATGCGCTTCAAAATTTTATGTGTGGTATTAAAAATGTTGTCATTTTCACAAAAATAAATTTATAAATAAATAAATATATTTTTTTATTACTGTGAAGTGGTTAAACTATCACACTTTTTGATCACTTATCAATCTTATTATTATTTATTTTGTTTCTTTAAAAAAAATAAGAAAAAAAAATGTTTTAGACAGGGTTCGAACTTCAACTTTTCGAGTTGGTGTCATTTATGACGTGACAGCTTGTCAAAAATTGTGGCCCAATTGTCAATTTTATAATTTTTTGCGTTTTTGTGCTTATTATAATGACTTTAGAAGTAAATTTACATGCGCCCCAAATCCTTGTCCTGTGTGTTTTCTGCGTACAATAAAAACATTGTTATTTTCACCAAAACAAATTGTTAGAATGCCTTAAAATGTATATTTTGGGTCTAGTCTTAATGTTTATTTGATACGCAATTCTAGGTCAAAAATTGTGCAATTTTGTGCGAGACATAGAAAAGCCTCCTGTGCCCCAAAAGCCATTTTGTTATCAACTTTCTATTTTTGGAAATGAGTGATAAGACTCCGTGTTATCACTCCAGCAAATTTCCAACAATTTAAAATCAAATATTGAAACGTTCCTCGGAAAGTCAATAAAATAACTCTCTCCGGACACGCGCACACCTCTCGCGTCTTTTGCCCGTGCGCAGTTCTCGCGGGATTCCTCCTGATTGGCACTGGCCATTGTGCCTGGCTGCCATGTTTTGTTAAACTGTGGGGTGTGTTGAAGAAATTACACGTTTTAACATCAACCCCGTACTTTAAGGTAAGTCCAAAACCGCCCCCGCGCCCATCTCCAACCCCACAAACCCCCCAATTGCGAGTCACGCGCTGCTTTTCCCCCCAACGCGACCAAATCGCTCGTTGTGCAATCCAATGGCGCATTTCCACGAACTGGGGCCCCCTTGAGCGGTTTTCGCGCTGCGGCGTAGTAGGCTGTTTGACATTTGGTGAAAAACGCCATTTTTTTTTATTTGGTTGTCATTGTCATAGTTGGTTGTGGAAATGGTTTGGTGCGTCCTTGTGTGGTTATTTTTAACCATTGGGGCCTTTGAACCGCTCAATTGACGGTTTGGTGTGTTGCAGGTTCGCCACAATGGGGGCTGCAAGAACTCAAGTGCAGTGAATCAACGAACAAATTATTATTTTTGATGTTGACTTGGTTTGCATTTTTTTGATTTCGTTATGGGCACCGTTTTCAAGTTATAAATTTACGATGCGTCACGAAAAGCGGTCGCAAGCTAGTGGAAGCCCCCTGAAAATCGAGACGCATACCTCACGTGAACCACTCAATTGCTGCATGGCTGATCATCATTACTATTTTTTATAAAGTAAGTAGATTTGTAGTTAAATTGCAAGTGATACGCCCTCTTTGGTATTTGGAACGCCGGGTCCCAATATGATTTTCAAGCGAATTCGGTCTAATCTCGGTAGAATTGCTCCAAATTAAACTATTAGATAATAATTTTAGCAATGACAAGAATTTTATTTGTTGTGAGTTGTAATCGTGGTATTGACATTGGCCACAGCGCCACCTACGTACGCGCCTCCAGCCATTTTGTAAACAGGAATCTGCACGTCTTTTGTTTTTTCATACGCTACTGTCTTTTGTTTTCGAGTTATCTACAATTTATTTTTGGCAAACTAAAAGGTTTCAAGTTAGATTTTTTACTGTTTTTATGTGTGATTCATAAAATACAGTGGAACCTCTATTTCTCGAAATTTCCATAAGCCGAAGTGATTGGCTGGTTTATAGAAATAAATCAATGTTATTTTCCCTTGATAGGTATATTGAACTTTTTTTGGTCGATTTTTTTTTTGAAATTCTGTCTGTTTACATGAAATTTAAAGTCAGTGAAAGCTTTTCCGAAAAAAAGGAAAAATGTATCAGGCAGTCTTTAATAAAAGATTTTTTGTCACCTTGAAAACAAATGAGTAAAATCTATATCTCCATACATATGCAATTTTAATTTTTGGGGTACCTAACAATTTATTACATACTTTATAAATAAAATAATATATAAAAATTTGGCAATAATTCGACTTAAAAAGGTTGTACTGTATGTATTTTGATCATGTTTTTGATAAACGGTAAATTTTTAAAGAAAAACAAAATAACTAATTTTTGACAAACTAAAAGGTTTCAAGTTAGATTTTTTACTGTTTTTATGGGATTCATAAAATACAGTRGAACCTCATTGAATCGAACCTCTATATCTCGAATTTCTATAAGTCGAAGTGGTTAATAGAATCAATGTTATTTTCTCTTGAACTTTTTTTTGTCGAATTTTTTTGAAATTCTGTCTGTTTACATGAAATTTAAAGTCAGTGAAAGCTTTTCCGAAAAAAAGGAAAAATATATCAGGCAGTCTTTAATAAAAGATTTTTTTTGTTACCTCGAAGACAAATGAGTAAACACTATATCTTCATTCGTATGCAATTTTAAATTTTTGGGGTACTTTAACAATTTATGTTTATTTATACATATTTTATGTCATAAGAAGTTAATTTT